CGTACAGTGCCATTCTCGGCTTAGTGTTGGATCAAAACATGCAACTAGGTCACTTCATATGACCCGTACCTAGAGGAGAGCTGAAAGAACAATAGTGTGCCTAATTTTCGCAATTTTTGTACATAGCTTTTTCGCAGTAAAGCTGCTCATAACTTTGCCTACAAAGGCGCTCTGCAGATATGGAAGACAGATTTGAAATTAGCATTTTAAGCTGCATCGAATGGTATATACCTTGTACAGATTGGTCACTTCGATTTCTGACCATTCCCTTGTGAGCAATAAAGAGAGACAAACAGAATGGAATGATAGAGAACAAACATGGAAAAACCCTACCACTAATACCCTAGGATGAGAACAAGAACTAAAACTAAGAAAAGGGCTCAGTGCCCTGCGTGACGGTAGAAGTGATCCATCGATCCTGCTGGCCCCCTTTTATAGCGGCGCATCGCGCGTTGATCTCCTTTGACTGGGTGCTGCAATGGGTGCTGCGATCCAGCACACTCATAACTTCACCCGCATAGGCACTAAGCAGATGTGGAATACAGATTCGAAATCAGCGTTTCTGCATTTATTGGCATAGTTGAATAGATTTTCCGCTTAAAGGCAGCGTCCAGGCAGATCTGGACCTATGGAGCTTTTACGTGGAAAGTACTTTTAGGGCCCTAATTAAGTCACTGCCCAAGCGGCAGCTCACGAAGTGCTGTAATGGTTGAGATATTCCCCTCGAAACTGGCCCCCGCGAACGTAATCGCATGGATTCATGGCAGTTTCGCGCCGGGATTCACGCTTTGCGCCATGAATCCATGCGAAACACGGTCGCGGGGTCCAGTTTCGAGGAGAATATCTCAGCCATTACAGCACTTCCTGAGCTGCCGCTTGGGCAGTGCCTTAGTTAGGGCTCCAAAAGTACTTTCCACGTAAAAGCCCCATAGGTCCAGATCTGCCTGGACGCTGCCTTTAATATAGTGTGCGCAGCAGGTAAAATGCGGTGAAGTATGCGCGTGAACAAATAGCTATCATTCATTTTCTGACTTAGGCCTTGGACAGAGTTCACGCAATTTGATCGTCTTTAATCGCTACAAGACAACTGTTAAGATTTCATTACATGCCAATCAGCTTGCATTTCGGTTGTGATACTTCTACAGCGCGAAATCTTGAATTTAGAATGAAAATAAATGAAAATCTCGGCGATCAAATCGCGACGATCAAATTGAACTCCGAGGCCGAAGAGACGCGATCAAATTGAACTCCGAGGCCGAAGAGACGCGAGCACGCTTTGCACGCATTTCGTTAAGAAGTTCATGAGTGAGTTTTAACGCGTTTTGGTGGGCTTACTATTAGAATTCGTGGAAGAACATGTTTGAGCTCGTTAAACCATGCTGGCTTGAAGAAGTTCTTTCACGAATTCCTTATAGCAATCAAGCAAAACGCGTTAGAACTCATTCATGAACATGTTGATCAAACGTGCGCAAAGTGTGCTCGCGTCTCTTAGTCAGAGAATCAATGATACATATCCTGTGTGTCCCAGAAAAGTTCCCATGTGAACCAGTGTGCGTACGTGGTGCGACGCTGCCTTTCGCTCTCTTTGACACGTTTCTCCTGAGATTTCAACGGAACTGTCCGAGGTTAGCATGTTCAAAAGAGCGAAGGGCAGCGAGAAGACGTGGTACCTGTGGGAATCTTGCTGGGGACAAACGATACGCCTTGCACGTTAGCCCATTGCGCGCGCAAAATGCCCGAATTATCAGCGTAGCTATTTCTTCACGCTCAAATTCTACCGCAGTTTACCTGCAGTGCGAGTACACTGTAGGAAAAGCGCTAAATACGGTAGTGCACTATTGGTCCCTGCCCCTGCCCTGCCCCCGCTATATATAAGCGACTAAGTCCCGCCCCTAAGAGGAGAGAGAGTCAACGAGCTAGCCCGCTCCGGCCGGCTCAGCTGGCTTAACACGGCAGATAATCACCCATTCATTTTCACATTCATTTTAAACGCACTTTTTCTGTTATCCTCCTTCCACGTATGTTCCTCTATATTCCCAAGTTCCTCTATAGTCTCAGGTTTTTCTATACTCTCCAGTTTCTCTATATCCTCAAGTTTCTATCGTGTAGTATGAATTACATCTGATATCCTAGCCGCGTGAAATTTGCGTACGAGCGGACTCCTCAATGGCCGTTGCCCGCTAAGTGCGTTCGGGTGATACGCGAGTTTCGCGCTGCTGGTATCGTCCCCTCCACAGCTGCCGCTACCCTTGGTCTGCGTCTCAAACCTGCCACGTGTGGCTAACATGTTGACAACGTGGCAACAACATGTTTGCAACATGCCACAACATGTTGGCAGAACATTTTGGCCACGCCAACATGTTGCTGCATGTTGCCAATTGTTGCTGCCAACGTTGTCAACGTGTTAGTCACACGTGGCACGTCCGCGACGCCAGAAGGGTAGCAGCAAATGTGGAAGGGACGATACGTTGTCACTTCGGCGGCGCTGGTATGGTAACTTCGTGCTTGTATTATTGCTGATATGACAATTTTGTGCGCCACCGATATGGCAGTTGCGGGAATCACGTCCGGCTACAATGCGTTTAACGAGGCCAGCGCCAGTGCAGTCACACATCCACGCGCGAGCGTTACCGTACGCACAGCGTGCAAGGACCAAGCTGCGCACAACATCGCGGCCCTTGTTTTTATCATTCACTCGTGATTTTCCGTTTTTGTAGCAGGCGGATTGCCATTTTTCTTGCTTCTATGCTCATATGCAATCTGTCTTGATACCGGATAAGATTTTTTTCGCAGCAAAGGAAGGAGGTATCAAAGCTTTGGGCGTCTTCCTCATCCTAACATCTTTCATTTCATCCAGGCCTTCTTCGGATGGCTGATTCCGGATGTCATGATCAGTATATATCGACTATGGTCAATATATCGACTCGTGTTTCAGCGGACAGAATCGTATAATGTATAGATTTGAGTGAACAGCGCCAATGCGCTGTCCACTCAAACTGTTCTCTCACCTGTACGATGTACGAAAAACCTCACACATTCACTTCTAGCTGCAAGGAGGAAGAGCACTAGCCATTCCCAGGGTATTTAAATAAATTGAAATTGTTATAAATTATTTAAATTTCGCATTTCATCTTTTTTAGACTTCAAATCTCCATTTTGTCTTCCATTCGCGCGGTGATACTATGAGAGGTCTCACAAGGGAAGTTCGCCGAATCGAAATGGCCGATTGATGTGGAATATACCCGGACGCGGGGCTCGGGAGGTTAGTATCAAATGTGCGCCCACTAGCTGCGACGCGTTATTGTGAAGCAAGTTATGGCCCTCTGAAGTATTTGGCGTGTGCATGTCTAGAGAACGCACAAATGCTCAGGTTGTGGTCGTGTGGTGTAGTGGTTAGCGTCTGGGACTCACACGTGACCGATGAGGGTTCGAATCCTGTTGCTGTCCACATGTTTTGCGTTCTTCTCAAAATTCATTTTTTTACCTGTTTTATGCAATACTGAGGTAAAAAATGACACATACGGGTGTTTAAACACTACTAATTATACATCCTGCCGTGCCATTCTCACAAGGTAGCCCATTAGCAAGAATCAATAGTACGACGTGATACAACTTGGAGATTGTCACGTAAATACTACGTGCAATCGAAGATAGTATGTGGGAGTGAGGATTTGGCAAATCTTCAAAGTCAACTAAAAAGCTGTTGCTAAAAAGTCGTTGCTATGTTCTATGAAGATTTCACATAAGAAGCATTAATCGAATTTTCGTGAGAAAAATCATCCCGTAACCCGTGTGTGTCATTTTTAACTTCATTAATACATAGAACAGGTAAAAAATAAATTTTGAGAAGAACGCAAAACATGTGGACAGCAACAGGACTCGAACCCTCGCCGGTCATATGCGAGTCCGAGACGCTAACCACTACACCACAAGACCACAGTCTGAGCATTTATGCGTTCTCTAGACATGCACACGCCAAAAACTTCAGAGGGCCATAACTTGCTTCACAATAACGCGTCGCAGCTAATGGGCGCACATTTGATACTAACCTCCCGAGCCCCGCTCCTGGTATATCCACATATCAATCGGCCATGTCGATTCGGCGAACTTCCCTTGTCAGAAAAAACCGAGGTACAGTCTGCCCCAATCGTGATCAGGCCGAACCTCTGGCTGAATTTGCGCGCTCGCAGCGCTAGCTGTTTGCGCTGCATGCGCGCGCTGTCCCAGAGAGCGAAGAGAATGAGGAGAAAGCAGACAAGCTAGTCGCAGATGTGGCGTAAAACCCTCGCGACGCGGACTCCCGCCATTCCAATTTTGGCCTGGTAAGGATTGGAGCAGACTATAGAGTTCTGGATAGTATGAGCTCAGAGATTTGGAAGCACGACAGCAATTAAGCTAAGAAAGAAGCAGGAAGACTAGCTAGAACAAGGATCACGCCTCTTTGCGCGGCATGGTCCTGCACGCTGCAGCCCACGGTGACGCTCGCGCGCAGGTGTGTGACTGCACTACGCGGTGCTGTGGGCGCTGCGTCGTACCTTATGCAAGCGTCCTTCGCGCTTATAACGTGTGAAAATTACGCTATAGTTTTTGTACACTCAAAACTGTAAAAATTATAACCATGCATAAATAATGATCGCGCACAAACTCAAACGTCTTTCTTTGACTATGGTAGCCGTAAACATGTGGACCTGCCTGAAAGCTGCAGAGGCTTAAATTAGTGGTACGCGGATCGTACGTTCGAAGGCACGCGGCCGGTACTGCTTGAGCAGATAGGCAATTTACCAATAATAAACGAATGATACCTCAAAAGGCTCAAAGCGATGTGAGCAAATAGTAATCACTGCAACGAAAACGTAGGAAACTGGGCGTCAAAGTGGGGTGCCTACAAAATTCTTTCGGTGCCATAAAGAAAACATAATGGACTATGTGATAAATAAATTTAAATTGAATAGGACTACCAAAAACAAGTTAGAAACAATCTTTGAAGTGAACGTCCACGAATGGTCCTCGTATTTTTATGGCATCCCGTCGAATGGCACGAAGATTTTTTGAATAAAAGGACACTGTGTAACGCCGCTGATCCAGAGATTTGGGTATTATGGTGCGCCGCTTGTACGTTTGAAGGCACGCGGTCGGTTCTGCCGGTCCTGTAAATTGCACGCCGCTTGTACTGATACACTCCGAATTGCGCGCCGCTCGTACTCAGAATCGACTGTGTTGGGCCGCTCATACGCTCGACAGGCGCGGTCGTAGGAATCGTTTTTTATTTGCGCGCCGTTCTCCGAAAAGAATATCAGAGGATGATAGCGAGTTAAAGGACGCAGGTTGTTGCGCCAGTCCACAGTTCGCAAGTTAATCGCGCACTTTTGTCTACTGCGGCCGCTGTTTCCATTGTTTTCACAAACGTTATAAAAATGCACTCTTCTAATTGACGTGTCAATAGTGAACTCGAAGGGAAAGGGACCAGGCGAATCTAGTCCATGACATCGATTGTATGGCGTTCTTTTCTCAGTTTTGTTTGTCGCATGCTCGAGTTTGCTAGACTTTTTGTATATGTATTACAGATTCTTTCATACCTATTTCCGCAATAAGAAGCGAAATGAGCACTGCTTACCTGGATGATCGACACATAGCCGGTAAGTTATGCATGTTTTCGTACCCCCCCCCCCCCGGCAAACCACATAGAAACCTTTCTTGAGCAAATATATGTAGCGTGACTCTGTATAGTTTTAGCCCTGGAGAAACTTGTAGCCGAGCCAGACGAAACAGACGATGCCACTCCTCCACGTGTCATTCCCATGTATGTGGTAAGTTCGAAAGCTCTTTCAATTTTTTCCTTTATTGTTCCGTATCCGAACCCATTTTTTCGAAAGGCTCTCATATAATACGTTCTTTAGTCTAGAAATAATTTTTCATAGGTTCTATGAGGGCTGCCTCCTTGTCACGTGCTACAAAAAATTGACACGTTTTGGTCAATTCTAACATGTTCTTTTCTCATTTTCGGTGAACTGAAAGAGAATTTGTGATTATCCAGAAGCTGTTTAATTGTTTTCTATAAGAGCAAGACAATCTTGGATTTATTTTAGAACATCTTGATTGCTTCCGCAGTGTTTCAGAAATGCCCTTCTTTTCTAACCCTTTTTGCAATGCAAATTTAGCCAGAACAAATGATGGCTTGAAGAACCTTGCTGCTGCTTATTTCGCCTCTCAAATGGCGAATAAACAAGTCTAATCCGTTCATCGATAATGGTATACTGTTATTATTATGACAACTAGTGAACCAGTAATTGAAGGGCTAGATTGCATCCGCGTTTCGGGATCGCACCGCGGTTTCCCGCTATTTGCAGATTTTTGAATGGGCGTTACGATTCTTTATATATTAGATGCTCATTTTGAGTCTGTTTGGTCGAAAAGAGGACAGAATTGGTTAAAAATTAGATTGAGCTTACGTCGCTGGGTAGAGCAAAACAAATGCTTGTTGAAACCTGTTAAAGATGCAGACGACATGTCAAGAAACTGGGACCAAATATGAAGTATAGAAGCAATATCCTTTTTTGAGAAAATGGTTCTGGATACGGGAAAATATCTTTCCTTTTTCGTCATCCATATCGCTGCTTGAGTTTCCATTTCACTGATATATGTATATATAATATATATTTGTATGAAGCGATCTCAACAGTTTCGTTTACTTGTATCACGCTCAAGACCGTTATAGTCGATATCTTTTTTGACCAGGGCCCGAGTAGTTTAAAGACTAGCTTAGAGAAATAAACTGGAGAAAAAATGAGTTATGTAAGCATGAACAACTCAGTTGTACATGAAGGCAAAGGAGAACTTGTTTGGAAAGGGTGCTTGAAGTTCATAGGATCCTGGATTCCAGAAGTACTGGGATTGAAAGAAAATCTTAGGAATTACATAACATGTCTGGAATTTTTGTTTTTTTTTCGTCTTTATTCCTCGCATGGATATTGATTTCAATTGACAGTAGAATCTATATCATCTGAAGAACACTATTCCAGAAAGACACTCCTTGCCCAGCAACGGAGCATCCTCTAGAATACACCTATGTGTATTCGTTCTTCCTTCGGCCACCCGGAAAATTTGATCCTGTCGAGTATGCCCACTACGTGCAACAAATCGCTGCCGTCCATTCCGTGGAGCAGTTCTGGAGTGTCTATCGACACATCAAACGGCCATGTGGTATGTTTGTCTGTTTATTCTGGCAACGTTTGCTGCATGTGAGTTTTTCATGACGCACAGCAATTATTTGAGACATAAAGGCACATTGCTAAATTATATCCATATGTTCAGTTGTTATTTAGTTAGTAATTAACTATATGTGCATCATTTATTATTTATAGTCAATTTTTTCTGCGGTTTGGAATGTTGCTAATCGCCTGATACCTTAAGGCTCAGGAGAACAAAAGTTGCCTCTTGACACCCGAACTATATGAGTATCTTCAGTTTATTTCTTACGATATTGTATCTTGAAACTATCAGGCGGGAACACGTGGTGTAACAGAGGGCAGATGTGGGGGTAGGGGGGGGGGGGGAGTGTTCAAGTATGGGAAGTTACTTAATTGTCGCAACGGCATCTGGTTCAATCGAGTAGGCCGATTTGAGTGGAGCCGCTCATCTGTGTGCTTGTGTTAGATGGCGAGCGCGCAGCGCTGGCTGTTTGTTGTCAGGCTTAGGAATGGACATGTTATGATAAGGTACAGCTGGTCGTGATTGGTGCAGTTTCAAAGTCATGCACATGATCGTTTTAGCGTAAATCAATGAATATTATGAATTTTGTGAATGTTTATTTTCTGTAAAAATAATTTCGGTGATTTGGGGGAGATTCTTTTCTGAAAAAATGATTTCTGTCACCCGCCTTCGCCCCCTCCCCGCACCTCCTCCTGAATTTGTTACCGCCACCATATATACTGATTTTGTGCACAACCCACAATTATTTTTCCGAAGTATTTTCACCTATGATTTGAGTTTATCAGCCGCAACGCTTGAGGAATGGGGCGAGATGTCTTAGTTGTAGAGGTCTATGTCAAATTTTTTGCATATGGGTAGAGGTATATGTCGCCGGAAGTGGGAGGGTCTTGCGCGGCCAATGCAGCAGACACTCAGTTTGTGCATATATTGGAATGTGTAATTGTTGCGGATGTCCGGCGGCGCCATCGGCAGTATTTCCCACCTTCGGCGACATATAGTCCCCTACCCCTCGCATATGACCCGGTATAGTGCAGCATTGCGAAATCTGAGCCTGTTGCAGCGCAATCTAATACATAAAGAAACGTAAGCGCAACTCAAAAATGTGCAAATAGCGGGAAACCCGCGTGGCGGTCCCGAAGCGCGCGGATGCAATTTAGCACGGCCCCATCTAAATCCACAGAGTCGGCTGCGCGGGCGGTCGCGTAGCGAGCGCAGCCTTTATCATCGGGTCACGCTTGCCGTGTGCGCTGCACTCTGCTGGATGTAGAAACTTATTCAGTTCATTATGTGCTATCTGGTCTCATTTGTTGACAACGCCAACGGTTTCTTTGACATTGAAATGTGGCGATCAACGGCTTTTTTGACAATGAAATGTGGCGTTTTTTGAGAGATTGAGCATAGCGCTTAATCCGAAGAAGTTGAGATGATTGTGAGTTGTCATCCATGTGTTTGTGAGTTTAGTTTATCAGATGCGTTTGTGAATGCTGCGTAGCATGTTTACATTCTTTAAAGGTATCGCCAGTCTTTTTTTTGTTAGATCTGTCGTAAACATACTGTAGACTGGACGCTTCCATGATCTCGATTATTCTTACTATCTCCAATTCTTAAACATTTGAAAGATAAAACATGAATTTATTTGCATGTGCATGTGGAGTGATATTAGTCTTCATAAAGCAAAAAAGATGTTATGTCATTCGAATTCCTGGCGCTATCTCCCACATTAGTTGAAAGAAATAGAAACAGCGGATTTTGCTGAAGCATCATCTAGGGGGGTTATCTTGCACGCTGATTACAAATATCGCGCTTATTCCGCATGGCAGTACCATCCAGTGGAGTTATGATAGGATTACAGTCGGGGGTCAAAACCACCGACTTGCCCCAGGCTGCCTCCAGGGCCGTTACTTGACAGCTGAGCACGAAAATCATATTCATTTCGTACAATAGGACCTTTGAGTTACGGTGGGTATTAGATTGCCAAAAGTCCCGAATTTGCTCAAAACTTTGCCTGTAGAGGTTCCTAAGCACGCTGACGACTCATGCTCATTCGCTGCAGCAATGCCTTGACAAATTTGCAGTATTACCTTCATAAAATTACGATGAGCTATAGCAAGTTTCAGCTCAGTTTGAGCGGAAATGGGACTAGCCTGTGAGTCCGCTTCGCAACAATTCGCGTCGCTTTGCAGTCTGCGTTCCTTCATTATAATCTATGTCGTTGAGCCGGTGGCAGTGCGAACGCGCTCGACTTGTGATATTTCGCCTACTCATTTGAAAAAGACTGTACAGTGCATGAAAGAGCAACTTTTCCGCTATTCAACCAAATTTAGATCCCGAAAACCCACGAAAAGACTGCGTCAAGCGAGACGATTGTGATTGCGATACGGGATCAGTGCGTCAGTTAACACCACTGCACAAAGGTTCGAGCAAATCTATCACTTTAGCCACCTATCGCACACCTATAACTCCCCGGAAAAGTCGCAAAACGCAAAAAGAGTATAACAGTCGTAATCAGCGTGCTTAATAACCCCTCTAGGCAAAGTTTTGAGCAAATTCGCGACTTTCAGCAATCTACCGTATACCCGCCGTAACCCGAAAAAAATGGCCATACCATGCGAAATGAATATGATTTTCGTGCTCAGCATGCCAAGTAACCCCCCCCCCCCCTGGACGCAGTCTGGGGCAAATCCTTGGTTTTGACCCTCTACTGTAATCCTACCCTAACTCCACCGTATGACACTACCGTGCGGAATAAATGCGATATTCGTAAGCAGCGTGCAAAATAACCCCTCTAGAGAAGTTTTACCGAAATCTGCGGCTTTCATTTCTTGGGTCAGGAGTAGTACCGTTTTGTTTATCGTATGAAATCCTTCGATATGTTCATCTCTACCTACTGAACTGCATATTCCTTACATGAGACAAGCACAGAATAATCAACTTTGGATGCCTTGGGGTGACTTTTAGATAACTGCTGGATAACGGACGCAGAAACATATATGTTGGAAGACTCAGGAGACCAAATGTATTGAAAAGATCTTATATTAGGTTGGCTAGAAAGTTCTTGCGTAATTCAAACAAAATTCAATAACTTTTCAATGACTAAACCTAGATTCACAGTCTTGTTCTATAAAAATATTAGAAGGCTTGCGCTCCATGATGGACTTCTAAGCGCAAGATTCCATGAGCTAGCCCCCGAGAACGAAGCTTTCAAATATGAGGCTTCAAATTTTGCGATTTTGCGTTTGGTCCCAGAAAATCGCAGAGGATCGCTAGCTCGCCGAAAAAAATCTGTAAAAATTATTTAGACAGTAGAAGTCCATACCTTATTTTAGCAGGCTCTGATCTCGTGCGAAAATGCGAAAACAAAAAACTCCTGAAATATGTCATTTTGCGAAAAAAAGCCCCTCATTACTGCAGTTTTTCTGCTAAAACACTTTTTTACACTCCAGAAAACGTCGCAAGGTTCTAAATAGGGACTATGTCTTATTTCTAGTTGCAAACTGTGTTTCTGTGGATAAATTACAGCGATAAGGGGATTTATCCTGTAAAATGACAAATTCCACAAATTTTTTGTTTTGGCGTTTCCATGCGAGATCAGAGCCTGCTAAAGTAAGGTATGGACTTCTACTGTCTAAGTAATTTTTACGGATTTTTTTCGGCGAGCTAGCGATCCTCTGCGATTTTCTGGGACCAAACGCACAATCGCAAAATTTGAAGCCTCTTCTTTGAGAGCTTCGTTCTCGGGGGCTAGCTCATGGAATCTTGCGCTTAGAAGTCCATCATGGAGCGCAAGCCTTCTAATATTTTTAGAGAGCAAGACTGTGAATTTAGGTTTAGTCATTGAAAAGTTATTGAATTTTGTTTGAATTACGCAAGAACTTTCTAGCCAACCTAATAAGTAACTGACATGCACATACACTACATTAGAGGCGGAGCTCACGAAAAGGTGCGCAAGAGCGGGAGTCCGTATCCCTATCATGAAGAAATCATCTCTTGATGTAGAACCCATCTCTAGTGCAAAAGTTTTGCATGCCAAGCTACGATCTTATTTTTCCTAGGAACTGTCCGATTCTCCGGATTACCTTTTCCAAATGTACCAATCTTTGTTAAGTCAATTTGCCATTGAAAACGCCATAAGTAAGAATCAGAGTTGTAAAGATCTGAGCACGATAACAATGGATGCTCATCTGCTTCTACAAAACTTCAGAGGCCGTATTCATCATTGCTACCTTGAGGTAAAATGAACCTTGAGGTAGGATTAACACTCAAAACCCGTGTTCATCAATGTACCTTGAGGTAAATGCTCAAAGATCAACCTTGGAAATGATTTCATGTGGAATGGATGATACTTTGAGGTGAATTCTACCTCAAGGTAGCCTTATCAGCGATAAATCCGTATTCATCAAACTTGATGCCTTTACCTCAAGGTACATTCACAATAGAAACTTTTACCCTAGCAAAAGGCAAGGTTATGAGTGATACCTTCAGAAATGTACAAGGTTTTAGAGGGTGTTTTTTCACACGAACATTGAAGTGACAAAACTGAACCCATTGCAGCAATTTAGTCTAATTTCATTGAGATTCGCTGGAGTTACAGACATGAAGAAATTAGTACTACATTTTTCTTCAATCCTATGGGTATGTTGTGAGTGTTGTAAAAGTCCTTTGAAACTGATGTATCGAACCAAAGAAAGTCGAACACATCCTTTATTTGCTTCAACAGCATTTTGAGCATCATAGATCCTATCAAACATTATTTTGAGCATAGCACACTGAAACCACAAGCTGAAAATTGTATGACCCAAAAACAATCGCTTTGCAAGCTCTGTATTCAAGAAAAGCCAGTGCTGACGTTCGTGTAACGCATCTCTTCAGTCTTGTTTAGTTGCTCAGATCAAATCCAACTGAAGTAGGCATCAGCTAGGCATAGCAGCAGAGAATTTTGTAAATTGTATTAGGTTGTTGCAAAAATAATGTCCGTTTTTCTAGGCCTATGT